TAATTTCTTTCTATTTTTAGTAGAGACGGGGTCTCGCTCTTGCTCAGGCTGGTCTCGAACTCCTGAGCTCAAATGATCCACCCGCCTCGGCCTCCCAGAGTGCTAGGATTACAGGCTTGAGCCACCACGCCCGGCCTCACTGTATAAAAATTTTTACCTGAAAAAAAGACCAAAAAAAAATAAAGTTAAATTATTATGGTAGCTTTCCAATGATTTAAAATAGTTCTTAAGAGACCCAGGAAATGGCCTGGGTCTCTTAAGGCCTTAGTAATAACTTATAATAACTTACAACCCAGCTTAGTAATAACTAACAATTATTAAACTCTTAAATATGTGGCACATACTGTGCTAAATATTTTGCATGGAAATCTCCTTTAATCAACAGCCCTATGAGGGTAGGGACCATTATTGGCCCCATTTTACAGATGAGTAAGGGTAACTTGTCCAGTATCATACAATACTCACCATCTCAAAACCCTGCACAGAATCTGGATTTCTTCTGCTGATGAATAATTACTTCCACCTCACTCAAACTTCACAGTGAGAGAATAAAATATAAACTGTGTCTTGCATGATAAGGATTGCTGATTTTTGGCTTCATTTTTATCTCCTGGCTGTGTTCTGTGTGCTGCAGCTTTTCCCTGGATTTTAAATCAGTTTCAAGTGAATGCAAGGAGTGTACCAACAGTTCTTATTCTAGAAAGCCTCACTCTTCACCAGGCATCCTTTCAATGCCAGTGGATTGTCAAACTTCAATCATATAACTTCTTCATATAAAATCCTATGTGGAAAGCTTTATAAAATGTGACTGAAAGCAAAGGGTTGCAAAGCCTAAAGCCCCAGGGCTGAGCTTATCCTGCCCTTCCAGTTCACTTCTGCATCATCTGTCCTAAGTGGCAGATCCTAGTCACTCCTATTTAGCTTAGCTACTTCGCAAAAAAGGTAGGACATTCTGCCGGGAGATAGTCGCATATGTACATTCAATCATTCAAACTCATTCAGACATACATTCGCTATATTTTACAAAACAATACTTTTAATACTTACCCTTATAATGTATGATGCATTTTGTTACACTTAGTGATAACCAACAAACTGATTTAGTGACTATTAATAGTTTAAGACTCATCATTGGAAAACAATGCTCTAGGGTATGTGCTGACTATACTTCCTGAACTAGTCTTTATCGTTACCACCAAGGAAAAATGGAGAACCTGTTGAGAATATACACTCAGGGTCAGGGGCTGAGTAGACAATTCAGAGACAGACTATAAGAAAAAGATCACATGGAGAACACTTCAGGACTACTAATAGTCTTCTTAGGTTTAGAATATAAATGGTGAGTTATTCCAAATCTTCTTGGGAAAATAGAAATCTCTTCTCATGTAAGCCTTTCTAATAAAAATAGGCTAGAAAGTTGGTGGTTAGTTTTAATTGAGCTGGGAGGCAGACAAGGATGAGGTAGCAGCCAGAGATTTCCTTAATAAACTACTTGCTTTGAATTACAAGCTACATAATTCTCTAAGCTTAAATTTTCTTTGAAGGAGTAATCAAGACTTCTTACCCAAAGCAGGGAGAGGGAGGTCATAAATGAAGAGCTCGAGGTAGCTTTGAGATTCCAGAAGCTGCTGGGGGCCCAGGGAGAAATGATAACCCCAAATGACGCAGGCCTGCCACCAGCTGCCATGTCCACACTGTCCTTGGAACAAGCTGAAAAGGCTCATTATGCTTTCAGTCTGCCGTGCTCCCATTCAACTTTTTTTTTTTTTTGGTAGAGATGTGGTTTGGCTACATCGTCCAGGCTGTTCTCAAACTCCTGGCCTCAAGCGATCCTCCTACCGCAGGCTCCTGAGTAGCTGGGATTATAGGCATGATCCACCGCACCCAGCTTCTAATTCAGCTTTAACTGGGCTACTTCATACAGGTAACCTCTGACACTTGAATCCCCAGAGGACATGCCTACAGCTCAGGCTCGGCATGAGGGACTGCGTAATCCAGTGATATGTAACACAAAATAATCAAACACGTCAAGAGCAGACTAATATGTAAGTCACAAGTGAAGATCGGAATGATTTGTATTTTATCCAGAGTGATGGTGGAAACAAAATTACAGACAGACTTAGGATTCCTGAAACGTAAATTGTTTTTAATATATTTAAAAGCACACAGAAGTGTTGATTTATAAAAAAATAAATATATAACATGACAAATTTATTCATGATCCTGGGGCTCTTATGAGGTCAAACTCTTTAATGGATGTATCAGTGAAAACATAAAACATATGTGATGTTATATACACAGAAGCATATTCCAGTTGTAAAAGCAAACTCCTTGAAGGCTCAGAATAAACAAACGTCAGTCTTCTGTTGCAGAAAGCACGTCCAGAGCCAGGCCATGAGGTCGTCCCAGGCCACAGTAGCTTTTCACCAGCGCACAGTGTAAACAGCCAGGACAGGAAGGCACAGTCCTTCAGCTCACAGCCACCCAGGCTTCCACCCAACTGCAGAATGAATGACTCCCTCAAAGGCTCTCAAGGCTCCCTGGCCCTTGCTGTGATCATAAAGCACAGGAGGGACTGTTTTGTCCTGACTTGTGGCTCTGTCCTAAGTCTGAGAGGAGACTGACAAGGTATGCTCATTAAATATTGTCATCGTAACACTGAATGAAAATCACGACTCTGCCCATGAGCAAGCAGTGAGCTGAGGGACGCGGGCCCCTCACCCCAGGCTTTACTGGAGGCCAGGACCACGGGGGAGCAAGCGTGCACTTCTGACGCGAGCAAGGAGGGAGTGCTCGCTCCAGCTGACATGCTGTCAAAGGTGATGACGTCTGGCTTAAAATACTTGACGCTGCATAAACTGGAGATTTGAGAATTGAGTTTCTAGCACTGTGACAACACATGACATAAAAAACAAAAATCCAGTCTCATTAGCTAAATTTTGATTAAAACCTGAAATGTTTTTATGTAATTGCCAACAGGCTGGAATGTATCTAATACAGTTTAATCTGCTTTTGTTTCTTTGGCTGTCTTCCAACTAGATCTAGAAACCGTTCTGACACCCTCAATCCTATTTTCCAAACCACTTTCTTTTTGTAATTCTTAAGTTGGCTACTTCTCCTTCCTTAGAAAAATTATCCACCACGACCTTCCTAATAGTGAGGGTGTGTGTGTACTTCTGAATAGAAGAGTCCTTCAGCTGAAATGGCATCTCCAAGGGCAACAGTTCGAATTGGGTCTTTACACACCAGCACTGGCGTGAAGTGGAAGGATATTCCCTCCCTGTGCCATTCTACTACTGGCTCGTTGGGGTTTAACACGATCCTGGAGCCTGCCTCCGAATGGGAAGTCATGAACTCTTGGGGTGCCCTCAGAGATACTCGGCTGGCGTCTATGGTGTCTGTCGCGCAGGCCTGTGTCCCAGCCACGCGAGCACCTGCAGCCACGGCTGCCAGCTGGTTGGCCCAGTGTCCATCCACAGTTACCAGGATGTGGTAGACCAGCGTGTGGAAATGGATCCTGGTGAGGTCCGAGGCTCTGCCTTTACTCCTCCCGTGTTCTTTCAAGATCCAGAAGAGGATGTCGCTGACCATGCCCACGTCAGGAACGCCATTCCACGAAGAGACAGAAGAGTGAGGTCCAGATGCCGACTGGGTAAGAAATAACAGCTCCTGTTCGTTCAGCCCAAGGGAGGTCACTGCGGGAAAGACCTGCTAACAAAAACAATGACAGGTCTCTTTCTGATGGACATAATCTAGCTCCTTAGATATCCTGGGACACAGCCAATGACTAAATGACAGAGCAGGCAGGCAGGCAGCCATCTTTCTTCCTTACTGCAGGACTCCTGCCCCTGAAGTCACTGCTGTAGCTATTACACCTCTACCTCCAACTTCATTAAAACTTGGGAGAAACTGGGAAGTCGCAGTAACACTGTTTCAGACCCAGTCTTTTGTTATGCGCCAGTATAAGCTATGGCACACTGTATATATTTTGTTCTTCCCATGGTGCCTAGCTTTTGCCTTTGTACACACAGTGTGTACTCTTACCACTGATGGGATATGGCTCTCAGTTCCTAAAGGTCAGCAGGCATTTGGCAAGTAAAATGGAGACCTTAGCACGTACACTCAGGGTCACAAATGGTTCTTTGTATAAAACACCAAGAAGCAAGAAAAATATAGTTTCATGTTAGAGCTAAGCGTTTTAAGCAGGTGTGCATTAGGAAGACCGTCTGCATTTAGTAATAACAGTGTGAAAAAAGTACCGGAGTCACTGAGCACATTTTCTATCTTATGGGGAACCACTATATTCACCTGTCTTTCTAACTTAGCACTTCCCTCCCTAGAACCAGAGAATCACACATTAAATGAAGGTTTCTGCAGGAGAGATGAGTCCTGTATATATGTGTGTGCATATAAATTTTTTTTTTTAAAAAATTAATGTCCTATATACCTTTGTTAATGTAATAGTGGCTTTTATTTATTGCATGTTCTGTGCCAGGCACTGAGCTAAAGGGTTTATTTCATCCAAATCTGACTGTAACCCTTTGAGGGAAGGAGGAACTGCCTCCATTTACAGACTAAGGCTCAGAAGGACTAAGGAGACAGAGAGAAAGTGAAATAATAATGGCTCATTTTTTAAAAAGTGAAACGATACTCAACCTTAGAAAGAGAAAAGTAAATAAGACTATACTGAGGCCAGGTGTGGTGGCTTGCACCTGTAATCCCAGCACTCTGGGAAACTGAGACAGGTGGATGGCCTGAAGCCAGGAGTTCGAGACCAGCCTGGGCAACATAGTAAGACTGTATCTCTACAGGAAACAAAATTAGCCAGGCATGGTGGCATGTGCCTGTAGTCCCAGCTACCCTGGAGGCTGAGGCGGGAGGACTGTCTGAGTCCAGGAGTTCAAGCTCGTGCTGAGCTATGATCACACCATTGTACTCAGCCTCAGCAACAGAGCAAGTCCCTGTCTCTTAAAAAAAAAAAAAAAAAACCCCGCCATAAAGGAAAACAAGAGTGAACACAATTGCAAACTATGGACTTTGGGTGATGCTGATGTGTCCATGTAGGTTCACTGACTCTAACCAATGTCCCACTCCAGTGAGGGAGGGATGATGGCAGCGGGGGAGGCCGTGCATGTGGCGGGAATGGGAGTATACGGGAACTCTGTACATTCTGCTCTATTTTGCTATGAACCTAAAACTTCCCTAAAAAAGAAAGTGTATTTAAAAAATCAAACTATAGTCAGCCCTCCATATCTGCGGGTTTTGCATCCACGGATTCAACCAACCTCAGATGGAAAACACGGTACTTGAGAGATGTGGAACCTGTGGATGGGGAGGGCCGACTTTTCTTATCCCCAGGGCCAAGTGCAGGGCTTGAGCATCTGCGGGTTTTGCTGTCTGTGGGGGTGGGGGAGTCCTGGAGCCACCCCCACTGTGATACTGAGGGATGACTCTATACTGAAATGCCATTTTTCATCTGTCAGATTGATAACAAATGCAAATTCTTAATCACATTCTGGTGGCAAGGATATGAAGGAATAAGCACTTATAAATATTGCTAGTAGGAAGTAAACTGGTACAAGTCTCGTGGAGGGCAGTCAGGCAGTCTCAAAGTTACAAATGCTTCCAATCCAGCAATTCTACTTGTGAACATTTACCATACACGTGTACTTGCTCACAGGCGAAATAAAATCCCACACAAAGTCATGCACTGCAGCATCGTATGTAACAGCAAAGGGTGAAATGGCCATCAAGAAGATGCAGGTTATTAAACTGAGGTGCATCCACATGTCCATTTTAACCATGTGGCTGTGAAAAGCGTAGGACGTTCTCCATGTTAACGATACAGAAAATATCTCCAAGATACATTTAGTGGGAAAAGCGAAGAGCAGAACAGTGTATTTACTATGCTATACTATCTTTTTGGGTGAAAAATAAGGAAATATTCCCATATTTTCTTATACAGGTACAAAATAACTTCTAGAGGAATACAGAGGAAACTACAAGGGGATTCCTAAGACTGGGGACAGGGAAAAACCAGAAAGAGGAAGACGTCATTGTGCATCTTTGCATATTTTGGGGTTTTTGAACCCGATTAATATGTTACAAATTTAAAAGGTTAGTAACACTAAAATGACAGGTGAGTAACTTTCCGAAGTTCATAAAGTCAGTGGGGGCGAAGCTGGCATGCCAGCCAGGGCTCCAAAGCTCGTGCTCTCAAGCCTCACGCGCTCGCGTTTCTCCTAATCACTGCTGCGTTCAAAGGAAGGAGCTAAACAACTAGATGCCTGGTGGGCGAGTGGAGTTTCCTCAAAGTTACCTTCCTTTGAGCTTCTTCATGTTCAACTGAAAGCGGCTGAGCTGGGCTTTTGGTTTTCTCCTTTGAGCTCTACTGTAATGAGCCATTGACTTTTAACTTGCCCATTCCAGAGGGAGAAATGTGACCCATGCATCTAGCAGTTACACTACCATATTTCTAACCTAGTAGGAGATCCTGTTCCACAACGGTCCTGGATCCTCATGGACTTGGTCTGAGGGACACAAACCTACATTCTGGTGAGCCAGTCACTGAGCCCAAACACGTGGTCATTTAGTTGGACAAAGGAGCGTCTCTGCAAGGCCCTATGAAGATCAGGGCCAAAAGATGGCCCATGTGCTGCCCCCGTGGTTACCTGATGCACAATGCTGCTCATGAGCTCCCTATTGGTCATGCTGGCCAGCTCTAGGTGAACTGGAATACCAGTGGGGATGTCAGAAATGGAGGTTACAACCTGCAAAGAGAAGAGGACAGCACTGCCGTTAGAAATGAAGGCAGTCAGGCAAGAGGGAAGAAAAGATCAGGTCCTGAGGCAATGCCTCCTTGTAACTGCCTTCTTTGCATCGTCACAAGAGCTACAAGCAATGTGGGTCCCCCACTGCCTCTGTGGACAAGGGATACTTTTCCCAGCAGGGCAGACCAGGCTCTGCAGAGAGCCATCGGGGTTACAGAATCAGAGACGACAAAGATCTGCCCCTGTGTATTCATGTTGCCAGTCTATTCCTGTGACCTACACTCAGCAGTTGGCTTCAACTGCTGCACAAATCTGCAGGAACTGCAGCATAGCTGATGTGAAGTGAGACGATACAGACAACACAAAGGACACAGACTACAAACCCTGCAGCTTGCAGGCACGTTCCATTTAGCACAGGATGCAGAGGCTCAGGCAAGAAGATGTTCTGACCTGTCCTACTCGAGCTGCCGCCCACATCTGGAGGGATACAATGAAGCGCCTCACTGGAGTAGGAGGCAAGCTTCACAGCCAGCTGCCAGGATATGTCCCTGGGAGGCCGGGACCTAAGGCAAGGCAGCACAAGCCACAGAGGCCGAAAGAGGCTGGAGCCTGAAGAAAACAGCAGCTGAGGTCTGTGAAATGCTGTAACAGTGCTATTACCTCCAAGAGTCTCTTCCTCTGGAGCTCCTTGCTTTGTCCCTCCATCATGTGCAATCCAGAGAGGACCACCAGGTCTGGCTGAAACTCCTCCAGGCTAGACACAAACACCTCCAGCATATTCATGGCCCCGTTGGAGAGGTCGTGAGAGAAGATGAATCGGTTGGCATGGGGAGCTTTTAACTGGCCCCACTCCTCCCCTAGAAAAGCCCAGTCAACACAATGGGAAGAAAAGGAAGAGGCTTTAAGTCTCCTAGCTGTGGGGGGCTTTCCGGTGCCTCACAGGAGCCCTGTCTCTGAGCAGGCTGGCTTCTGGCTGAGCGGACCCCAGCTACAAAGGTCTACGGCCAGCACGGCACTGCAAGAAACAAACCAAAAACCTAAACCCAAACCCAACAAAGAAAGAGAAACACAGTGTGGAAGCCAAATGCCCTTTTCAAGGTAATGAGCTCCCCTTGAGCTCCAGGAGAGCTCCACTGTGCACTGAGCTCTCAAACACAGGAGACAGTTGCAGAGCGGTAGCGCGACTTCCACATACCAGCATATAGCGCGTACTGCAACGCTCCTGCAGAAAGGACAGGCTGCCTTTTTCAAAGCATGTTCCACCTCACAGCAGTGCCCCGAACACCTTTCATTTAGTTGGAACGCAAGCAGGCTAAGGTTTCAAGATCCAAGCTGACTGCACCTCCTCTTCCCCGCTGCCCACTGGTTGTTTCTGGGCACCTGATCCTAAAGGGAAGAACAGCTGGCTGCTCTAGCCGCTTTTGTGTAAGTAGCTTTGGAGTAATGACTGTTCAGGACCAAATTCAAGTACTACCTCCTCCGTAAATGTGATGCCTTCCCTAACTCTACCCCTCCAGCAGAGGGGCCACCTTCCCTGGGCCACCACTGTATCCTATGATAGGACTGGGCCCTTAATTTTTGCAATAATTTGTTCAAGTGTCCACCTCCAGCAGTAACCTGCGAGCTGAGGGCAGGGTCCACGCTGTCTTCTACCATCACACTCCTACTGCCTCACGTTGTGCCTGGCATACAGCCACGTGAATGAATTAGCAAAAGAACAAGCGAGCAAGAGAACAGACTGATGACCTAAATGCCCATGACAACAAGAAATACTAATATGAACTCCAAATCCAACATTTCCCAAATTAACAAGACTCCGTACGACAGGAAAAATACATCACGTTGATATTATCCAGAAGCAAGACAAGGACCTGACTCTTGAGTAGTGACAGTGCTAGGAAACGTGGCCTAACAACCTAGGGGGAAAGAGCCACACAGCATCCAAAAGCAACTGATTTCTTCAGGCAAGTGACAGAGGCAAAAATAAACAGACTTTCACGAGGCCAGGACGAGGAGGCGTGTGGAGGCCACTCACTGTCTCCACAGGACACAGGGCTGATGGAGGGGCCTGAGAAGCAAGCGGACCGAAACTCAGCCTGAAACAGCAGTTCACGCCCTCTCTCCTCACAAAGCTTTGTGCTTTTCTCTGCAATCTCTTCTCTCCATTTGTCATCCTGTCCTGGAGCCAGTAAGCCAGCAACACCTGTGTGATCAACACCTGTGTGATCACTCACTGGATTCCCAGCCCGAGCCTGAAAATGGGCTTTTCTGAGAGAATGAGGAAAAAAAAATTGACAAATCCTCCTGGAATTTAGCCATCTAGGTTAGAGAGAAGCTGGGGATGGATTTCTGTTAAGAAAGCTCACTCGAGGGCTTCTGCCACCAGACCAGGTTCCCTCCTGGGGCTTAGGAAAACGTAACTTCACATGAAGCTTAGTGGAAGGCCACTGCTTTGTACTAAGAAAATTAAGGCATCGGAAAGAAAAACTGAAGTGTGAAGCTTATAAGCCCAAGGATGGAGACAATGTCCTTTCGAGATAAGCTGTGTCGTCTCCTTAACTACATACAAGGCACAGCTGTCCAATAAAACATCAAAGTCTTGTTGAAGACACTGGACTCTCCCCTCTGTAGTCACCAGGGAATATGACAGAAACCAGGAACCGCAAAGGTTCCCAGTTTCCCAATGTGAGTGCCAACAGCAGTGAAAGTGACACGAACCTGGAACTGGTGGCGGTGGCACCTCGCGGGCACACCCTGCAGCTATTCCAGACCCTTCCGGTCCACAGTCATGGTCATGTTTTTCCAAGCAGCTCACAGCGTTAAACACACCAGCCTCTTAATTCTTACCACAATGTTCCAGCAACTCTAACTCTTATTTCCCTTTTGGGGAAACTAAAACTGAAAGAAACTCAAAACTTGTGTATCATTAAATGTGAACTGCCGACTTCAACATCGTGTCCTTAATTTCCAGACCCTGTCCCGCCTAAGTTCCCAACTGATTCTGGTAAGCACCCAAGAGAAGCAGGAAACAATTCCTTTTCATACCTAGAGAAAGGCATAATTTTCAAGGAGCAATATAGTTCACATCTTACCTCAAAGTTAATTACTCTAGTAAGGGAGGTTCTCCTAATTGTCTGATGTGAAAGGAGTTCACTGAAGAGTGTTAAGTACTGCTCTGATACCGTTGGATGCTTGAGTTTTTAACTAATAATGTGTTGAATCAGAAACTCAACAGTCTGAGTTCTGAGCAGAGGGAAAGATACATCAGAAAATACACAGAATCAAAATACATCCAAGTATTTAAGATTCACTCAGAAATCAGATCTCTAGTCTGTGTAACACATAAAATCTGCTAGGGGTGGGTGTGGTGGGTGGATTTGGATTTACAAACATTAGAAAACTATATAATGGGAAATAATCCACACATATACCAAGGAAAAAGAAAATGCTCCAAAGAGAGTTGCCAAGAGGCCTGGAACCAATCCCAAACAGCTTGGCACAGCCAGCCAGAAAGGCCTAGGGCATCGCTGAACAGATGTCACTTGCCTTTCTCTTTTCTTTGTAATAAAGGAAAACTTTATTTATGTTAAAGGACAAAACTTCACCAATTTTCATTTTTACTCAAGATGCCTACTTTCCTACTCTTATGTCTCCTGGGTTCAGAGCAATTCTGCTTGTAGACCTGGGAATTTTCTTTGATGTTAGAATACTCTGTCACTTTCCCTCGAGACGATGAATGGCCATTACCAGCTCAGTAGAGCCAGTGGTCAGGACACCTTTGGGATATAGCAAGAATAGGATCCTGCTAATTTATAAATATCCATTTCTGGCACAGTCACACCCCAGGGTGACAATACACTGTCCCCCGACCAGTGCTGCCACCATTACTTACTCGTTTCCTTACCTGCTTGATACTCTAGAATGAGGTGGAACTCATCCACTTCCTGCAGTGACTCTGGTGGAACAAATACATCGTCATCGAGAAGTTCATGCAGCTTTGGACCCACTGGACCACAAAGAAGAACCTGGAGACGAACAGCACGAAGTCTGTCAGAGGACCTGCTCTTCCCACAGCATCCCGACAGTGGCTGGGCCAGTACGTTCGGGCCAGTTCTACTCGTTTCATCAGAATACTGGAATCCCAATCTAACTCTGAGAGTTCTTGGTTCGGAGGTATGCAGTAGGAGGGCTGTTGCCAGGGCAGAGGCCTTTGGAGGGTGCGGCCACAATGTACCCAGAAAGGAGAGGCTGACAAAAGACCCATGTCACAGTTGTTAGGTTCCATGCACTGCTATATCCCACACTCTCTGTTATGGACTAAATGTTTGTGTCCCCCCCAAATTCGGATGTTGAAACCCTAACCCCAATGTGACAGTATCTGGAGACAGAGCTCTAAGAAGGTAATTAAGATTAAATGAGGTCCTAAGGGTGAGGTCCTAATCAGACAGGACTGATGGCCTTGTAAGAAAAGGAAGAAAGAGAGAGACTGACCTCTCTACTCCCACTGCACGCACCAAGGAAAGGCCAGGTGAGAACACAGTGACAAGGTGGCCATCTGCAAGCCAGAAAGAGAGCCCTCACCAGAAACCAAACCTCGCTGGAACCTTGATCTTGGACTTCCCAGTCTCCAAAACTATAAGAAAATAAACTTTGTTGTTTAAGACACCCAGTCTGTGGCATTTTGCTATTATGGCAGGCCGAGCAGTCTGGGACACACCCTCTCTCCACTGTCTCTCTTTTCCTTACTTACACGCTGTGCAGGCAAACAGACGTGGGATGTTCTTTGCCCGAAGCTGCCTGATGACAACATTTGTTTGAATTTTACACAGTATAGAAAAACAGCTTCTAGATCACCATACCCTCAACAACCAGGTCACCTAATTTGGGGGATCAAGCTCCCTATTATAGTTAACTACTATGTGAACAGGAAAACCTTTCAAATATGAGGATTAAAGAGCATTTCAATTTAGAAAGTTTGGGGGAGGTGCTCTGCAATTTTTCCAAACCTTTTTTCTTCAATTCCAATCTGGCTCCCCCCGGCCATTCCTTCTAGAGGCCATTTCACATCTGCTGCAGTTCCTCAGCTCCAATAAGCTGTTTCTGGCTTGACGCTCAAGGCTTGACGCTCAAGGCCAGGCTAGCAGATTCAAAACCACTGAACAGTGAGGTCTTGGACTAGGAGTTAAAGGAAAGTCCCAGAGAAATATGCCCCACCCAGAAGCTTCAAAAGCCATCTTTGCTCGCTAATCACCTGCTTGTTTGTACCTTGCTTTGTACAGGGTACTGTAGTGTATCTAACTAAGAAATCCCAGCTCCTCTCCCCTTTCTGCCTTTAAACATGCCCGTTACTTGCCAACTCTGATAAGTCTTGTCCCTGCCACTTTATTTCCTTTCTCTAATTCTTGGCTAGATCTTCACTTCTAAGATGAGATAACAAGGGCCAGATTTACCCTCTTGCCTAAAACAACAACAAAAACCAGACAAAATATATGAAACAATGGTTTTCAAAACATCTGGACATCAGGCAACAAAGGACTGTGATTCCCAAGAAACAGGAATAACCTCAATAAGCCCTACGCATGCCTCAGCATATTACCATAAAAAAGTTTCCAGACACATAAAAGCTGAAAGAGCTTATTACCAGAGGCCCTGTACCACAAGAAATGTTAAAAGAAGTCCTTTGCGCAGAAAGAGAATGACACTAGATGGAAATATGGATCAAAACAGAGAAATGAAGAGCATCAGAGATGGTATTGCTGGATAAGTGCATAAGATTATTTTCCTTATTATTTAAATCTCTTTAAAGGATAATTAACTGTTTGAAGAAAAGTACTAACAATATAGTGCGAGGTTTATAACGTATGTAGAAGTAAAATGTATCACAATAGTGGTATAAAGTCTGGAGGGGAGAGATGGAAGCACAGGCTACCTCATCTTACTGCGCTTCACAGATACTGTGTTTTTTACAAATTGAAGATCTGTGGCAACCCTGCATGGAACACGTCTATCTGCACCAATTTTTCCAACAGCACGTGCTCACTTTGTGTCTCTGTGTCACATTTTGTTAATTCTCGCAATATTTCAAATGTTTTCATTATTATTATCTGTTATGGTGATCAGTGATCTTTGATGTTACTATTGCCATTGTTTTGGGGCACCACAAACCATGCCCCAAGACAGCAAACTTAATGAACGTGTGTGTGTTCTGACTGCTCCAGTGACCAGCCATTCCCCATCTCTCCCCCTCTCCTCAGGCCTCCCTCATCCTTGAAACATAAAAATATTGCCATTAGGCCATTTAATAATCCTACAATGGCCTCTAAGTGTTCAAGTGAAAAGAAAAGTTGTATAGCTCTCACTTTCAATCAAAAACTAGAAACGATTAAGCTTAGTGGGGAAGGCATGTCAAAAGCCAAGACAGGTTGGAAGCTAAGCCTCTTGCATCAAACAGCCAAGCTGTGAAGCTGGAAAAGTTCTTGAAAGAAATTAGAAGTGCTACTCCAGTGCACACACGAATGACAAGCCTATTGCTCACATGGGGAAAGTGAGTGGTCTGGACAGAAACTCAAACCAGCCACAACATTCCCTGAAGCCAGAGCCTAACTTAGAGCAAGGCCCTAACTCTCTTCAATTCTATGAAAGCTGAGAGAGGTGATGAAGCTGCAGAAAAGTTGGAAGCTTAATAGAAGTTGGTTCATGAGGTTGAAGAAAGATGCCATCTCCACAACATAAAAATGCAAGGTGAAGCAGTGAAGTGCTAAGGTAGAAGCTGCCCCAAGTTATCCAGAAGATCTAGCTCAGATCATTGAAGAAGATAAACTAACCAACACATTTTCAACGTAGACAAAACAGCCTTCTATTGGAAGACGACGCCATCTAGGACTTTCCTAGCTAGAGGACAGAAGTCAAGGCCTGGATTCAAAGCTTCAAATGACAGGCTGACTCTCGTTGGGGCCTAAGGCAGCTTTGACTCTGAGTTGAAGCCAATGCTCATTTTCCATTCTGAAAATCCTAAGGCCCTTAAGAATTATGCTCTATTCTGCTTGCACTCTATAAATTAAACAACCAAGCCTGGATGACAGCTTATCTATTTATAGCATGGTTTACTGAATATTTTAAGCCCACTTGTTGAGTGCTTAGAAAAAAGAAATTCATTTTAAAATATTACTGTTTGTTGACAATCTACCTAGACACTGAAGAGCACTGACGGTGATGTATAAGATTAATGTTGTTTTCCTGCCTATTGATACAACATCCATTCTGTAGACCATGGATCAAGGAGTAATTTCAACTTTCGAGACTTATTTAAAAAATACATTTTGTAACATTATAGCTGCCATAGATAGTGACTCCTCTGATGGATCTGGGCAAAGCAAATTGAAAATCCTCTGGAAAGGATTCACCATTCTAGATAGCATTAAGAACATTTGTAATTCATGGGTGGAGGTCGAAATACCAACATTAACAGGAGTTTGGAAGAAGTGAGTCTAACCCTAGAAGGATGACGCTGAGGAGTTCCAGACTTCAGTGGAAGAAGGAACTGCAGATGTGCAAAGAGCAAGAGAACCAGACTTAGCAGTGGAGCCCGAAGTGTGACTGAACCACTGCAATCGCGTGATAAAACCTGAATGGATGAGGAGCTGCTTCTTATAGTTTCTTGGGATGGAATCTACTTCTGGTGAGGATGCTGTGAGCACTGGTGAAATGACAGCATAGGATTTAGAGTATCACATAAACTTAGCTGGTAAAGCAGCAGCTGGGTTTGAGAGGACTGACTCTAACTTTGAAACAAGTTCTACCGTGGGTAAAATGCTATCAAACAGCATCTCAGGCTACAGAGAGATCTTCTACGAAAGAGTCAATCGATGTGGCAAACTTCACTGTTGTCTTATTTTAAGGAACTGCCACAGCCACTTCAACTTTCAGCAACTGCCACCCTGATCAGTCGGTGGCCATCGACATTGAGGCAAGACTGTCCACCCGCAAAAAGATAACTTGCTGAATACTCAGATGATTGTTTGAGGTTTTTAGCAATATTTTTAAATTAAGGTGTGTACATTTTATTTTTAGACATAATGCTGTTACACACTTAACGGACTACAATACAGGGTAAACATAACTTTTATATGTACTGGGAAACCAAAATATTTGTATGAGTCATTTTACTGCGGTATTTGCATTGCTGCAGTGGTCTGGAACTAAATCTGCAGGATCTCTGAGGTATGCCAGTATACTATGACAAGTTCTTACAGTACACATGGTGGTATATCTCTTGAAAGTAGACTGTGATAAGCTAAAGATGTACACTATTAATCCTAAAGCAACCACTAAAATAAGAAAACAAAGAATTACAGTTAATAAGCCAGAGAAGACAACATGAAATAACAGAAAACAATCCAAAAAGAATACAGAAAAAGAAGAAAGGGGAAGATAAAGAGGGGGGACAAATCAAAAAACAGCAAGATGTCAGATTTATTAGGTTATTAAGTATGGAACGTCCAATTTCCTTAGGTACTAAGTTTGACAGTTGACATCTCTGACATTTCAGTTTGACACTTCTTGGGGTTTTTTTTGGTGTTTTGGGGTTTTTTTTTGTTGTTTTTTTATTGTGAAGGCACATCCTTAGTCTTTCAAAAATGCACATTTTGGTTTGTGATTATCTTTCAAAATTTTTTTAAGAACAATTTTTGTGAAACCATGGATAAGTCACAAAATTCATGTTATTTTCAAATATGAGTTTCGTCATGGAACCAATACAGTGCAGACAGCTCAAAATATCAACAAAGAGTTTGGAAAGGATGTGGCTAATGAACACACAGTGTGTCGATGGTTTGAGAAGTTTCACTCTGGTGATTTTAATCTTGAAAATGAGCCACGTGGGCAACCTGAGACCAAGGTGGATAATGATGAGCTAAAAGCTATAGTGGAAGTGAATCCATCTCAACCTACGCATGAATTAGCAGCAAGGTTTGATGTTACTATTCCAACAATATTGGACCATTTGAAACAAATGGGCAAGGTAAAG